AGCAACATTACTCTACATAATAACATAGGAACACTACTCCACATTATAACATAGGAACACTAGTCCACATTATAACATAGCAACATTACTCTACATTATAACATAGGAACACTACTCTACATTATAACATAGCAACACTACTCTACATTATAACATAGGAACACTACTCTACATTATAGCATAGGAACACTACTCTACATTATAGCATAGCAACATTACTCTACATAATAACATAGGAACACTACTCCACATTATAACATAGGAACACTAGTCCACATTATAACATAGGAACACTACTCTACATTATAACACACGAACACTACTCTACATTATAGCATAGCAACACTACTCTACATTATAGCATAGCAACACTACTCTACATTATAGCATAGCAACATTACACTACATAATAACATAGGAACACGACTCAACATTATAACATAGGAACACTACTCTACATTATAACATAGCAACATTAGTATGTTCTTATGTTGTAATGTAGAGTAATGTTACTATGCTATAATGTAGAGTAGTGTTCTATGTTATAATGTAGAGTAGTGTTGCTATGTTATAATGTAGAGTAGTGTTGCTATGTTATAATGTAGTTATAACATAGGAACACTAGTCTACATTATAACATAGGAGCAACACTACTTATAATGTAGACATAGCAACAGTACTCTAAATAATAACATAGGAACACAACTCCACATTATAACATAGGAACACTACTCTACATTATAACATGGGAACACTACTCTAAATTATAACATAGGAACACTATTCCACATTATAACATAGCAACACTACTCTACATTATAGCATAGCAACATTACTCTACATTAATGTAGAGTAGTGTTCCTATGTTATAATGTAGAGTAATGTTGCTATGTTATAATGTGGAGTTGTGTTCCTATGTTATTATGTAGAGTAATGTTGCTATGTTATTATGTAGAGTAATGTTTCTATGCTATAATGTAGAGTAGTGTTGCTATGTTATAATGTAGAGTAGTGTTCGTATGTTATAATCTAGAGTAGTGTTCCTATGTTATAATGTGGAGTTGTGTTCCTATGTTATAATGTGGAGTAGTGTTCCTATGTTATAATGTAGAGTAGTGTTCCTATGTTATAGTGTTGCTAAATGTAGAGATAACATAGGAACACTACTCTACATTATAACATAGGAACACTATTCTATAATACAGTGGTGGAGAATTTCTCAACATTAGTATACAGGTTCAGTGCTCTGAATTATACTACAAGAGAATTGCTCTGTGATATAATAAAGGAACACTACATTATAACATAGGAACACTACTCTACATTAAGATAGAGAGGCACTGCTATATACAATGATAGATAATCACTTTTATACATAATAATAGAAAAATAAACTGTTTTAACTTATTCAAAAGATCTACACATAAATATAACAATACTGTACTGACAGTATTTTATGTTTCCGTTTTAACAACAGAGAAACGGTTTTACGCCTTTGTAACTGATATAATTTAGACAATCATACATAGAAATGAGCGAGAAAACAGGGGAGAGGGGTTGCTTGTTATCACGATAGAAGCAAAATGGTCTAGATAATGGTTTACAGTGGTTGAATCGCAATGATTCTACTTTGAGGATGGTCGAGCAAAATAATTGCACGAACTTAACTGCTTATTCTGTATGTATAAGCTTACCAAATACTCAACTACAGATGGGCGTGCATGTTCTGTGATGACGACACAATGATAAATGTTTCGGCCATACAGCCCGTTCTTTCATCACCGATGGTGTTCTGTGTGATAGCCCTAGTTATGGGATATTGCTCTACAACACATTTACTTCTGCAAGAGGTTTTTACTCAATACACTGAGGCCAAAAATTGTTACACTCCTAGTTAGTTGTTTTCTAAAGTCCACCTACTTTGGGTGGGCAACGACTTTCGAATTGGACAACCCAAAGACATAGAAGTTTAAGGTATATTCGTGTATGGAATGCATCTCGCAGGATAATTGACGTATTGACTTGGACGTGTGGCTGGATGTTTTGTCTTGATGTCAACTAGTGCGTACAGTATAGCTTGATATTATGCAGAACTTATCGAGTTTTTCTTCATTCTCTAGGTGTTTAACTTGTCATTATAGCTGTAACCTACAAGGCTGCAATCCCCATAAATCCATTGGAAAACTTATGCAACATTGCTCTTTGCCATTTTTAAAACACGTCACCGGCAGGATGATAATAAATCTCACGATATTTAATGGGATATATACTTCGACCAATGTAATGATATACTCCCGTTTGTCACATGTCAGATACCGCTTGGACAACTTTCGATATAGTTGGTCTACCGATCAGTTATGTGTTTTGGGAGAAACTTGTGAACATGTGTGAATTATCTTGTTTACAGTTCTAAGGGCAATATCTATTTTAACTACAATGGACCACTATGCTCTTATATATATATATATATATATATATATA